TATATGATACCAAAAATGTTAAAGAGATCATTAAAAATTAAGAGTTTAAGAAAACGTTAATTTGTTTTACATGTCCGCTTTGACCACTAGTGCGGCTCGCCTAGACGCCTTAGGATTTGTTAAGTTCAACTAATCTGCTAATTATATGGTTTTGTGATAAACTAATTATCATAATTTATCTGGTAAGATTTTTTATCCTTATTGTCGAAAGAGATTAGTCCATAGATTTCAATTTAATGTAATGGTTTTGTTGGAACTTGGAGCTGTGATTGGTGATGTATACATGTCGTTGTGAATTTAACTATTATATGTTTCCACTGATTCTAATTGAAGTTTTTGGACGGTGGTTCTGCTGGTTCATTGTCTTTTTAGCTTGATACCAAATTTTAAAAGTATAGTACTTATCAAAATATTTGATTAAACAACGACAACAAACTAACAAATGAAACGATATAAAATTACATAAAAATGCGTTATCTTAGAGATTTGTTTTAATTATGTTTAAATCACCAATTTATAATCAGATTATATAAATAAATATATTGCATTTTTACATGCGTAAATTGTCACTTCGTAATAACATAGTTTGGTATATATGTTTTCGGTGCGGCACATGGAGCAGAAAGAAACAACAACCAAAACTCTTCTGAAACATAGGGAATGTGCGACAATTAAATTATACACTTACAATAATTAGAATACTAAGATAAAGTTTGTTCCCTAACAGTATCCTTTTGTTATGTCCTAAAAATGTTAGATACCTCCAAATTAATCTTCAGACTTTAAAAACCATTATTCAAATGGAGAAGATATATATATTTACATGTAAAAGATATACATACATCCATCTTTTTAGCTAGGCAAGACCATTGAATTCAACTTTTACACAATAGACAATTAAAACACGTGAAGCATCCAAATACATCCATGTACGTTCAAAAGCTGTTTATAAAATGAATCAACCCGATCTATTTTCTTTTTTATATATATATATTTAGCATCGAATTAATATTCCATAAAAACTAACTTTCAACATGCTAAATTCTCAATCACATCAAGCCAGCAAAAAACAATAAACAATTAAACAAATTAAACAATTCAATAAATCACATACTTTACTGAATCAACTAACCAAACATCT